CAGACAGACTCCTAAGTTGGCAAAACACCCAACTTAAACAAATAAACGGGCCAAACCATTACCCAGATGAGGGAATTGGGCACAAAACAGCAGTGGGAAATTGCAGAACTAGACATTCAGCAGTAATTACTGCATTCCTACATGCAAACAGTGAGAAGAAGAGAGCGCTACTTAACCTTTTTATTATCTTCCGTTCTTCCTTTGCAATCCCTCTACTCAGCTGGATACCTAAACGTGTTTCCTGGGCAGTGATGTCATGGGGACAGGACTTTGGAGCAGATGTTAAGGGGACCATTCAGACGTCATGTTAAGGGGACCATTCAGAAACACAGCAGGACCGCCTTGCCAACACATGTAAAGCAACCTGATAAGACCATTAACCCCAAAGCTTAAATTACATAAATGCACCACCGATCCTGGAAAAATGAGGAAAAGTGACGGGGGGCAGCAGGGTGTGGAAGAAATGTAGCAGCCAGTTGAATGGCCTCCATCTGCCCTTTGTTCTCTTCTTCATCAGCAACCTCCTCTGTATCACATAATGCAGGGAAACTGAGAATTATGACCCTTATGTTTGTCACCAACTGTTTAGTTCCACCTGCAAGTGACTTTTGAGACTAGAAAAAAATGAGGTATTATTTTGCCTCTAACTTTTTTAATTTAGCAAATAAATGCTACTGGATGAAGTATTAATAAAAAGCCAAGCATCTGACAGATGCTCTAGATATCATACTAGAAGCCAAATTCTCTCATTTATACCAGAAATGTAACTATCCAGTGCAGCTGCCATATCAGGTTGCTAGGATTTTGCTGTATAACTAACCTTGTAGATCAAAGGAAATTAAAAATGATTCTTTTTTGGCATTTAAAAAATATAAGCATTAAGAATGAGATGAAATATGCTATTTCAATAAGCATTTTTTGTACATGCTAGCCTTGAAGGTAGGCAGATGATAACAAAAATTGCTTTGCAAGGACAACCAAATCATGTGGACAAATACGAATAAGAGCAAGCACCATCTGTAATAGAAGGCTTCTCTAATGTAATTAGTTACTGTATAGCTCTCTGCAGAGCTGTCAAAAGTTTGCTGTGTGATGGTGAACATTAACTTCTATTCATGCATCCCTTTTATATGTGCTAAAATTCATTTTAAAGAACAATCTGTTCCAAAGTTATGAATGATTAGGCCTTCTATAAAGAATCTTGAGCATTTTGTGACTCTGCATCCTCAGATACTGTGTAATTTATACAGTGCTTTCTTGTGAACACAGCAAATTTTGGATTACCCCTTCCCCAGATGGTGGCCATCAGGTGCTACTGTGGATACAGATTAACAGCAACCACAGTGGTAGTTACACCACTCCTGAAAAAGTCACATCTGGATTCAGAGGATGTAAATAATTATCGACCTATAACCAATATCCTCTTCCTGGGCAAGGTGCTTAGGCAGGCCGAGGCCAGGAAACTCCAAGCATTCCTGAAGTAAATGAACTATCTAGATCCATTTCAGTTGGGTTTTAGGCCTGGGTTTGGAATGGAAACTCCCTTGGTCACCCTGTGGGATGACCTTTGCCAGGAGAGAGACATGGGGACTGAGACATTTTGTGCACATCATGTTGTGACAATGTCAATCAAATTTAGTTCAATTCTGGGTTTTAAACACAAGCAGATGCAGAAAAGTCAAAGCAGGGGTAAATACTGCATAAATAACAAGCTGGCCAGTTTTTATTTTAATCTGGATCATACAAAGGGAAGTTTTAATTCTTTCTTTACCTGTCAACCCCCCCCCCCCGACTGTTCAATTTCATTACAACAAAAGTACTTATTAGTTTTCATTAAAATCAAGATAACCCTCTCTCTGGTTGTTCTTAAAAAATCACACACACACAACAAAACTAGGCATGGTTGCTAACCACACAATTAAAAGGGCAGAGAAAATTTTAATGCAACAGAAGGACTGGTTCCCAATTTCTTAGCCTAACTGAATGCCTGTGACTGCAAGAGCCCTAAGGGCACCAGCACAGTGTCAAACCCACTACCCCAAATACCTTACATGCAGAGGAACAGTAAAAAAGGAAAAAAACTGGAACCAAGAGAGAGTTCTGCTTTCTGCTTCATAAACAAGGCATACAACTGCCCAATAATGACAATATCATCCAGGAAGTATTAGAGTAAAATAAAAGGAGAGAAGACAGCTTCCTGATACAAACGAACAGGGAAAAAGAAATGCTCTGACTAAATCACAGAAAAAATTAATAGCAAGAATGATATCCAGATATTAGCTGATAATCAATGATGCCACACATGCCATCATAGCTAAAGCATGTGGGGACTGCTGTCAGTCGTGAAAATAACATGCATTAGTTGCACAGGAAGAAACAGTCTTTCTTACAAGCTATTCATGAACCAGAGTTCCAGTTAAGTACCAGGAATCAGTATTATTTGAGAAATATATTATTGATATCATAAAGCTAAATGGAGCTTCTGAGGAACTGAAGTAATCATTGACACTGAGACTATTTCAAACGGTTGGGATGGTTAGCCCTAGTTTGGAGAAGCACATTTGTCCCTTGTAGGTTTCCTTGCAAAATCATTCAGGCTTAGAGCTGCCAGGAAGAATATATTTCAGGCACCATTAGCTTCCACTGGCTTTACAATCCAAAAACCACTCTGCAAGCATCTGCATCAGTTCAGTAAATGTGGTATGTGCTGGCAAACTCAGATAAGCAACCCATAGCCGAAGGTATTTTAACGAGGCTGATTAAATCTGAAGGAGTCAGTTTTTGGCTCGATCCTGTTGTGCGTGTGGCTTGCTGGCACCATATGTACCTGCAAGCATGTTTAATGGGCAGCTCCACATGGCACACTGTGAGCAGGTCAGATACAGGCTAATCTATACGGAGTGTGCTAATGCGCAGTCTAGATTTTGTTCAGTGTATAATTTGTTAGTACATGCCTAATATATGAGGTAACAGACATTAACAAGTAACTAAGTTAGTGCTGGGCCCAAGCTCAAGTGCGGTAGTGATCTGTATAGTCTGAAGACAGAATCTTATCAGTAGTGGTCTAGAAGGGTTTCACACAGTACTGATGCCTATGTTTGCACAACAAAACACCCCATCATGGAAGATGAGCCCACAGGGTTCACCCATGACAACTCATACCTTATTCTAAGGGTTGTTGTACCCACAAGGTTTGAATATGTCATTCAAACCTTGGTGCATATTCCCTGTGAAGGAACTATGGGGAGGCATGTCAAGAAACACCTTTTAAAGGCAACTGGCTTTTTGACAGCTAGCTGACTTTTTGACAACTAGCTGTCAAAACTGATGGGTCTCATAAAAAGGAGGTGGCTCACACTTTTCCATGTTTCCAAGCACCTGTAGTTTCAGGAACAAGTAGTAAAGTGAGCACACCCTTTGGGACAGTAGAATGCAAGACAGACGCACGCACGCACGCAAATGAGGCTCTTGCTGAGATGGGGTTGCAAATTCCACCACCCCCTTTTCATGAGCTTATCACTTGTGCCTTCCATTTGGCTTCACTGCTCACAATCAAACAACATTCAATCCAGCAGACATTTTCCTTGAGAGTAAGCCCCACGGAACACAGGTGCACTTGCTTCTGAGTCATCATGCACAGGAATGCACGATTAATGGCTTCAGCTTTCATGTTGATAATTTCATTGATCCAGGTGCCTTTTACCACTTTTTCTCCCTAATCCCCCCTTTGGCAAGAAATCATGGATATCCCCGTTTAGACACTGTTAGGGCTACTCTGCTTACATCTGTATACCACCCAATAAATACTATCTGGGTGGTTAACAACAACAAAAACAACAGAAGCTACAATAAAAACTTGGCATATAAAACAATTTGTGCCTCTTGCTCTTTCTTTAACTTGCTGTCTATCACTCCGTTGGCTTTTTCCTGAACCACTATTCCTTTTATAAATTCTTTCCAATTCTTAGATTCTTCATTCCTCCCACCATTTTGTTTATTAACTCTTCCTTACCCTCTGTTCTCATTTGCTGGCTCCACTGTCCCCTAAACTATCTTGTCCCAGGACTCCCGGCTTAACCTCTTAACTAGGTTAGTACAATTGAGCAACCTACTGTGAACTTCTGGCTTTATATTTAATACTTGGAATCGGACTGAAGCAATTAACAAATGAGGAATGGTTACTGAATCCAGAAGCAGAGGTCCTTTACAAGTTCTTATTTTGGTCTAATTGTTGTGTGCAGATATTGGTTAATCAGATTTGGAGCACTATGCTTTCATAAGCCACTGACATGACACTCTTGCACTGTCATAACCAAGTGCTTTCATTAGCAGATAAAAAGATGCCCTTTCACTTTAGGTGCTTCTATTCAAGGTCTCTTAGCATGCATTGTTTGGCAGGGTTCCAACCTCTTTTTCTTCAAAATTATGAGCCGAGTTTCCATAATTTATTTTCCTCACATAAGTTTATAATATATATGTGACAAAGTATGCAATCATTTTGGACAATTAATTCAAGGTCGCATCAGTGGGTTATACATCTTTCTCTGGTGAATTCAGGCACAAAGAGAAAGAGACCAAAATGGGCACAGTGCTACAAATGTTAGGTCTGAATGCATAACCACCCTTTTCAATTGCCTGGTATGCCCAGGTGAGGGCAGCTGCTTCTAGGAAGGCTTTTGCAATGCAACTGCCCTGCCTCATTCATGGAATTTTATGGGAGGTCTAGACAAGTGATAGAATTCTGTTCAATTTGCAGCCCTCCCATGTATTTCCTATTGCTTCTGCTGTCTCCTGTATTAACACCAAAGAAATAAATAGTAAGGAAAAAAAGAAGGAATAACTTAACTATTGGGTGTTAGAGTCAGGAGTCCTTCATATGAAAGCTCCTGTTCATCCATGGAATTATTTCTCCTGTGAATGGTACCCTACAATCCAGTGAAACATCATTTGTCCTCACAGACATTATAGCTTCTTCATTTCCCTGCCAAAAGGCTACTCACTTCTCCATCCTGAAAATGCTTCTTGAGCTGTTTTAGCATAAGAGTGAGCTTCTTAGATTGCACTCCACTGTAAGCCAATAGCATGCTGCCAAACTGACGTTCCGTGATCCGGCCATTTACAGGATCATGCCTTTCAAACTGCAAGAAAAAAAAGGAACACAATTAAAATAGCTGCATTCATTCACATTCAGCACAATGCATAAATACATTAATGGCATTTATACAGAATTCCTCTTCCCTCTGAAAAAATACACCAATCAGGAGAGACAGAGGGAAGTAAAACCATCACTACTTGTAGAAAAAAATTGTAATTATAATGAAATCTGTGACCTGTTTCACATGTAAGGACCACTCACAGTTTAATCTGTGGTTTGTTACCTTACTCAGTGTTAATCCAAGACTGAACAAACTGTGGGTTGCATTAAATTCCTGGGTTGTTTGTTCCTGTAACTATCACCTACTCTTTCCACATGGCTTTGTGGCACGGTAGTACTGGAAAACAGAGCAACTAAGTTTTTTGACCACAACTTCCTATCACTTCTGTAGTTTGATGAAACAATCCACAATGCTGGATGCAAATGTAACAAAACCAATGGTTTAAACAACCCAGGGTTCACAATCTAACAACAAACCATGGGATCTCTTATCTTATCCTAAAATTCCAGGTTTTCAAACAACAACACTCTATGTTCTGAGAGCATGTGCTGATAGAATGGTTTAGGAAAACTTTAACTAACTAACTAACTAACTAACTAACTAACTAACTAACTAAATAAATAAAATGGATAATGCAACACTGCATACTGATATAAACCATGGTTTAATGTTTTGTGCAAATGCACCCTATATTTTTTGCATTAATAATAAAAGAACTGGTGTACTTTATCTTCCCTCTACCTGTTCTAGTCATAGGAAAGTATATATGAGAGGGAATGGGGCGGGAGGAGATAAACCTGATGCAACATTACCTGTAATTAATGCAGGTTTTCCCATAAGTTTCTCACTTTCCAAGTTAGCCTTTAGAGCATACTATCCTCAAATATTCAAGTTTTTAACCACACCACAGCAGCTAGAAGGCATTTCAGTCAATATGAATATTGTGATAATGATTATCATAGTTTTAGAAACAGAGAAATATCCTTCATGATCCACATACCAACTGTAAATAGCAACATTCTACCCTCCTGGGTACAGCATTTGCTGAAGGGATTTTTATGTTAAAATTTAGAGATACTGATACTGCATAAGCTGCAAGAGCAGTAAATATTCAAATTAGACATTTTATGTGGATATTAATCAGTTAGGCACTTAACAACTTCTCTGTATATTTAATGAAAACCCTGCAGGAACCTTCTCAAATCACTAAGAGAGGTACAAAAAGGTTTGCTGAACTATGATTGGCAGTGGAAAGAAGGAGGCAGAATTCTTCATCCCTCCCCATCTTAAGATTCTTAGAATATTATCTTGTTATCATTTTGTTAAACAATCTCTAAATACTTTAAAGCAGTGGTGGACAACAGGTGGATCTCCAGATATTCTGGCACTACTCCCATCGGCCTGAGCGAACACAACCAATGCTGAAGGATCATGGGAATTGTAAAGCAAAACATCTGGAAGGCCACAAGTTGTCTACTATAGAATGTATGCTTACAATGGCAACCTCTCTCTCACAAAAGGCAATTGCAGGACCACTACCTCAGGATGGATCGGAATCAAGGTGTGGGTGGAGATGGGAAAATTTCCATCCCATGCCATTTTGCTGCTGGCAATCAGCCTTCCAAAGGAGTCATCTGTTGCAAAGTAGGCAAATAGCAAGGCTAATTTTCAGCAAGAAAACAAGGAAGGAAAGGTATTACACCGAAGAAAGAGAAAAGGTAGTATCTGAAGAAAGCAGTCTCGTTTATAAAAATGCTAGCCATTTAATTAAAACATGTCAGATGACAATGTGAGGTAAACATTTTTTTGCCTTCAAATTCCTCACTTTTGTGTATTATTGTATTATGTTCAACTAGAAAGGTATAAGAATCTCTTCAGCATGTAGTAGTCCAAATGGCTACCAGTTTTTGTTCTAATACAACTGGCCCCTCCCAATAAAATGCATAAATGACGCACATAGGAACATTTTTAATTTAGCTGGAGAAAACTGAGCAATGGGCTATGTAATCATGCAGCAATTAAAAACAACTTTCTAATTCCTTTTATGCTAAATACATTCACTTTTGCTATACTGGAATCTGACAGAAGTCTTGATCCACAAAAGCTGCAATCTACATTTTTCAAACATCCAATGCTTTCACAATTCCCAATAGCCATATAAACATGTTGATATTCATTTTATATCCAGAGTTTCTAACAATCTTCCATTAGGTCTTGATTAGATGCTCATATTCAGCTAATTATTTTCCCCTAATGTCCTTTATTTTTCAGGAAGTAAAGCATTATTAGCACACCACAAAGGGATTCAAAGCTGCTTTGCTTGACAAATGACTGAAAATGGTTTTATCATTAGCTTCTAAATGCATTTGAATGTTTATACACATGTTAAAATATAAAAAAACAAGTTTCTTTACTTTTCCAATACATTACTCCAGAAAAGAAACCTGATGAAATTACACAAGTGTAAGTGCTAGAGTAAAGAAATGACCATTCCTTCAGATACTTTCTTACAAAGGGGGAGCATAGTTTAGATTAGGGGTTTAAAAGTGGGACTTCCCAAAGCCTTTAATGCAGCTCCCCATGGGGACCCAAATCCCCCATCACTTCTAAATTCCACCCCCGCTTCCCCAATCTCTACCATATATTAGAGGTGAGCAAGCCCTGGATCCACATGCTCCTAGGGTAGACACCCAAAGGCCAGAAGCAAATTTATATTTACCCAGATAGCTCATTGGATACACTGGGAAGGAGACTGCAGGTTTTGGGACAGGGTACTGTGCCATGTTGTGTATGGCACGTATTTGGAGAAAGCAATGCGAGGATAAATACTTGCTTGAGACTGGTTTCCCTCTGAGGTTGTGCAGAAACAAGCAGAATGGCCTGTTTAACTGCTTCTTTCATATCATGCATGAGGCCACTGCATGGCTTATCTCACTGCTAGTTTATAACTGGGACTTCTGAGGCGACTAAGACACAAGAAGAATGGTATGTGTGTGCGTGCGTGCGTGCATAGATGGTTTATTGCAAATGGAAGGGGAATAAGTGAATGCACACAAAATCTACATGTGCTGAAGTGGGTTTTTTTTTTTGCAATGTACAGTAGTTAAGGAGTAGTCACTACATAACATAACAAGTGGCATGTCATGTTTTGATATTTTCCTCACAAATTACGAAATAACACATCACCTTCTGCAAATTTTCCAATAACAGAAGATTTTGCCTACATACTCACAGCAACCGAAACACAAAAAAGTATTCTCTCTTAGTACCCAGAGCTTTATTTATTCTGAGATAATGATGTCAAAATATAGAATTGAACTCTTGGAAAAGAAGTATTTTTTCAAAGCAAGCTGCCAGGAAAGAGCCACTCAAAGAAATTTAGAATACCAACTGATTCAATCTTTATCTACTACTTCTCTCTAAGCCTCCTATGCATCACATAAAAACTACTTAAAACAGCCTTTGAATACACCAATATAATGTCAAAAGACGGTTTCCTAAAGATCTCCATGTTGATTATATCCTATCTTTTGAAACAGAGATTTTGAAAAGAAAATTGTTCCTAGAGTCTTTTGAACAATGTTTGTAAGTATGAGAAAATGAAGAGACATTCTAGTAGTGAATCTTGCTTTTTTATTAGTCTCCATTTAGACTAACAGCCTAATATTAAGCCCAACTATCACAAAAGTAGCCATTAGCACCTGAAAGGAAATAACCATGACTCAGGGCAGCCTTCCCCAACCTTGTGCTTCTCAGACACATTTGGACTGCAACACCCAGTGTTGCAATCACAGTCAATGGTCCTGCTGGATAGGAATTCTGTGAGTTGTGGTCCAAATGCCTCTGAAGGCTACCAGGTTGGGGAAGGCTGCCCTAGGGCATGGGTGGAAAACCTCCAGGTCGTAGGACTGGTCCAAAATGCAGGGCTTCTCCATCCAGCCCATGGAGTCTCATCTCTGTAACTAGAAAAAAGATCCTGAGAGGGTGAGCACTGCACAGGGGGACTGCAATCAGAGACCAGGGCAGGAATGTGAGCACACGTGAAGATGGGGACTTGGTTGGTATTATGAGTTGTCCTCTCATGGGAAAAGGGAGCTGCACAAATGGGAGAGCCCAAAATGGCCAGGATCAGAAGAACAGACTCCTCCCAGTGCCAACTGAATCCATTCACATGCCATCTCCACCTGTTTACAAAGAAGGAACCTCACTCAGCTGCTCCCAAATAAAGTGAACCCCCAACTCACTCCTAGATTGATCAACTAAAATACTATCTCCCTAAGCTTTCAGCAAAAGGATTTTCCATTAGTATTTTACTTAGTTCCCTCACCTACAGGGGAGAAAATTTACCTGGAGTTATAAGCCCCAGAAATACAGGAACTCAATGCTGACGAGGTGTTTTTCAAACAGATTCTTGCCTTCACACAGCCAGGATCTTTGTGGAATACTGCTGTATCATTTTGACAGGACTGCATAATAACTGAAACTCATTCAACCAGGTGCAATTTGTCAGTTGATCTGACAGCATTTAAGCTTTCCCAAATTTCACTGGGGTTCACAAGAACCTCAAGAGCAAGCACTTGCTGTGCTCATCAAAACTGAAAAGGACTGCAGTATGCATGATACATCTACATCTTACATAAGTGGCAAATCCTATGCACTCCGCAATAGTACAGACATGTTCTCTGTATTTGACAGCAGAAAGCAGAAAATCCCTTAATAGCTGCCACAGACAGACTTCTTTGGAGCAGCCTTCCACAATTTGTGTCCTCTAGATGTTTTGAACAGTCAACTCTCTTCAGCCCCAGTCAATAGGTAGGAATGCTTGGAGATGTAGTCTAAAACATCTACAGAGAAACAGATTAGGTACGGTTGCTTTAGATCATAGAATCACAGAACAGTAGAGTTGGAAGGGTTCAGAGGACCATCGGGTCCAACCCACTGCTCAGGGCAGGACTCCAAGTTTAAACCATTCCTCTCAAATG